AATGCCGAGTAAATTGAACGCATTATAATAGAAATATAATGTATTTGAAATATTTTAGAGTTGTTTAGTTCAGTACAGAATAAATGTAGCAAATTATTTGTGTTTGATCTGAAGTAAAATAAAATCAATGTAAAGCCTATTGGCAGATGTTGTAGATATTCTTATTGAGCAGAGTGACAGGTCTATGATAGTGGTCACCGATGGCGGCTGGCTGTGAGGGGCTACCACTTGTGAGGTGTGCTTGGAAGTCGGCCAAAGGGGCCAGATTTTGAACTCACCAAAATGAATTCACCAAAATCTTACATAGCATTTCTTTTCATTCAATGAAACGTTGAAATTGGGAAAACTCTTGCATTCCTTTTGCAGTATCTACCAGTATTGTTGGCAACTAAACAGCTTCCAACTTATTTTATAATGTGAAATTATTTAGAAAAGAAAGGAAAAAAAACCTCAAAAGTGTTCTAGTTACTTTAATTCTCACTTCTTTCATTTTAGATGGTAGCTGTGCCTTCAACTCAGAGGCGTGGGATCAGGCATCTGAGGGATGGCTTGACGACTGCCTTGACTCGAGCATGATGCAGTGCAAGATAGATGAAACTACAGCTCCCATGCAAGACCTGTATGATCCATTTATTACAAAACTCACCATTTTGTCCAATACCACATACCATGTGATGAAAATTTTGTTTGAGCTCTTGCAGGAACTGCGATGAAGCATCTAATCAGGAAGTCCATATTACAAGTCAGTTTATTCTTTCTTTTTGAAGTCTAGTTTTCTTTTACAAAATAGGTAAATTTACATACCTTGCACGCAATTCTTATGTATTTACATAGCTCACACCTAAGCTTTCCTGTTTTCATACGTAGCACTTTGGTGCTTTAAACGTGCATGAAAATGTGGTGATAATAGTGTTATTTTTGATGTAATATTAAATATTTGAGTGCCATGTTGTGGGCTCTGAAAATTCTTATTGCTCCTCGGGACTCTGCATTTTGTTTTTATTTTTGTTTGTTGTTTTGGAGTTCCCACTGAGATTGGAAGACTTGGAAAGCTGAGAAAGCTTTTTCTGCAAAGCTCTGATTTTTATGGTGAAATCCCTGAATCATTTCAGGGTTTGAACGAGCTACAGGTTTCTGGATCTCTCATAGAATAATCTGATTGGCAGAATCCCTAAAGGATTAGGTTTGGGCATGACAAAGCTGGTCTTTGTGGACCTGTCTCAGAAAATGCTATCTAGTTCATTTCCTAGTGATATTTGCTTGGCAGAGCGCTCGTGGAGCTCAGCCTCCATGAAAATTTCTTTTCTGGTCCAGTTCCTGAAAGCATTAACAACTGCAATAGTCTTCAGAGGTTTTAAGTGCAGGATAATATGTTTTCAGGAAGTTTTCCTTCTAGGTTATGGTCCTTATCTGACAGGCCTCATCAGAGCTGAAAACATTCAGTTTTCTGGAGAAATTCCTGATCTAGTTGGAGTAGGTTTCAATCTCAAGCAGGTCTAGATTGGCAACACAATACATAGTATCTATATGTGGGCTCCGAAAATTCTGACCGCTCCCCGGGACTCTACATTTTATTTTTGTTTTTGTTTGTTGAGAGTGCTTTGGAAGGTCAAATTTTCAGAAGACGAATTGGATGGTAGATAAGATACTAGCCAGAGATTTCACTTTCATTTTGTGAGGACTTTTTGATATGGTATTCGAGGTTTCCCATTGGCCTCTATGGTGAATTTTGCCCCTTCTGATAACAGGAGATTACTTTCGATTAAGGCTAATATTGAACATATAATAGCAAAAACTTAGGATTTTAGTTGTAAAATTTATCACTTGAAGCTTACAACGGATGGTGGAGGAAGATCCCATGGTTCCGTTATCACGGGTCGTCGTGCTCTCTGATCTACTTAGTTAGAGAAGGTAGTCGACCCAATCTGACAGAATGTCAGCAGTCATGGGTTGTGTCATCCAAGAATTCCTTGTAGATCTGGGGTGGATGTTTATCTAAGGGGACAAATTTACATCGACCTTAGCTAAGAAAATGTTTTGTGTCAATCAATTGTACCATTATAATTCGCAACTCAAAGGGTAGAAAACCATCGGGGAACACGTGAGCTACAACTATGATCGTAATATAACGGTATCATTTGACAACAACTAACCGGTCAGAGAGCTCTGGTTGTAATCACTATTTTGTGGTGTCATTTAACAGTGAAACCACACAGACAGAGGACTCGGGCCACAACTTCACCGACATGCGATTGCTTTGATTATGAATATAAAAATACACTTAATTTGACATAAACCCTTTGGAATTTGTCACTCTTTGTAAACTGTTGCGAAGGATGGATGAAATTTGCTTATAGTTTTTAGTCATTTAATTTTTACTTGAGCGTTTTAGTTTTTTACTTTGAAAATTTTAATTAAAAGATTGTTGGGGTGGGGGGGGGGGGGTGGCTCATTTAGTTTTTTTAGTTTAGACTTTTTAAGGGATGATTTTTGTTTACTTTTGTCTTTATAGAATGGTGAATCAGATTTGGTGATTTAAACTTATAAATTCTCATCATTAATATTTGAACATTTATTTCAAAATTACTAGACTCGTCAACTCCAGTTCTTGTGAGAAGGAGAATTAGATTAGTTAGGTAGGACTTTCAATCCTATCTTACAGAAAAAGTGGCTCAATTATCCCGTGCAATGTTCTTGAAACTAGTAGCTGAACATTCAATACATTGGTTGGAGCACATGTGGACATTGTTTAATATCATTTATTTGCCTATTTTAGGCAACTTTAGATGTCTGAAAGCAATTTATATGTTTTAAAACATAGATTAAATCAAAGATTGTTTTAAATGACATCTTTAAAACTTGAAATTACATAAAATTCTCTCATTTGAATATATATAAATTGATACATATATATTCATTTTGATCTTTTGAAAATCACCTTCTGTTTGCTTGCAAGTATATTGCGAATCAGGTGACGAGATTTTAAGGTTTCAAAAGTTTAGTATCTGAATCATTTTTCATCCCTTAGGAGCTTAAGTTTGAAAAATTCAATCCTAAATGGATTTTCCAACCCTTGGAGCCTAAGTCTGAAACGCTAAATTTTAAAATATTTTCAGATTTACGAGCGTAAATTTTAAAATTCAATTTTAATATTTTAAGTCCCGAAAGCTTATGTTTTAAAAGCTTGAAACTTTAATTTTTTTTTTTAAAGCTGAAGAGCCTAAATAATTAATAGCCCAGGCCCTCGAAATTTTAAACCCTAAGTGCTTAAATTTTGAAAGCTCGAATTCCCAAATTATTTTAAAATTCAAATGGATTATATTTTCCTTTATTTTATAAGTTTAAAATTTCAAGTGTTTAAAGTGGATTACAAATCCAAATCACTGAAAATTTCGAAAGCATCCCAATGTTAATCGCTGTTAGGGGACACAGGAGAGTGCAATGAGTAGAAGACAAACGGGAGGTAAGACCTGGAACGAGAGACAGTGCAAATGAGCTCCAAGTGGCGGGAGTAAATAAATTTTTAATTAAATTAATTTAATTTTAATTAATGTAGCTTATTTCTATTTTTTTTTTTAATTTCTCTCCCCTTTTTTATTTTTACACTCAACAATATGTGTAAATATGAAAGTTTGGGTTTGAGATATGTAAACACATAAAAATTGTGTGATATGTATGTAAATTCTCCTACAAAACATCTCAATGAATTCAATAGCTTGCTTGTATGGCTTCTCTATAATTCGAATTTCTGTCAACGGATAGAGCGCAACAACTTGCCATCCGGCATGCATCCAGATTCGATTCAAGTGAGCCAATCTTCACCTCTGCCCAAACTTTTGAAAGGTTTGTAAAATCTATTCAATTTTGATTTTTGTCCTTTTATCTTTCCATCTTATTTATTTATTTATTCATTTATTTTTGCACTTATAGGCAGGAGATTCATCATAGGAAGCTCCACAAAGTCGACTTCTTCAGTCGCCTATCCTTTTGCTCTGATCAAACCTTGTGGATCTGAAGGGAATTTGACTCTGAAGGACATAAATCAGAGGCTACATAACCCATTGCCTACAAGAACCAAAAATGAGGAGGATGAGAAGTCTTCTCTTTCTTTTCCTACTTCAGCTTTTTCAGGTAAGCCTGTGGTCCTTAAAACAAAAATCCGCACCGAAGGTGGCAAAGGTAGCATTACCATAATGAGAACCAAAGGCTGATGAGGCATTGAGTTCTTCATTTCAATTCAGTTTTGTGAAGCTTATTTACTAAATCTTTCAGGTAACATGTTTGTTTGAAATGTAGAGTTTTGCATCTGGTGGGCTGATTGTAACTTGAATTCTATCATATAATAGAAAAATGGATTAGATTGTTTTCAATGGTTTGATTGGTCAGATCACTGAAATTGAGATTTGGTGATTAAACTTTAGGGAAATTTACATGTTTATCACACTATTTTTATGTATTTACATGTTGTATATCTTGATTCTTTCTTAACTTTTTGGTGCTTTAAACCTTTGCATGAAAATATCACTTTGAAAAGTGATAATAGTGCTATTTTTTATGTGATATTCAATTTTCTTGTTATAGATGATGGTGATGTATGATATAATAAAGGCATAAAGCCACATGTTATTGGCAATTATACTTATAAATAGATTCAAGATTGTTTCAAGCTTTTTAATGATTATGAGATGTTTTTTTTGGTTTGGTTTTTGATTGAATGAATATATTACTAACAATGGTTTGCAGTTTAGAAATTTGATTAGATATCTTAAGATTAGATATCACTTGTTTTAAAGATTTAATCTCAAAAGAAATTATACACTTAGCTTCATGTAGGGAATGAGAAGGCCTTCCAAATTGGTTTTGTTTCATTTATTAAAAGAATCTATGGTATTTATATATGATTAAGGACTTAATTAGATTGATTAAATATTTATAGCATGGATTTAGGTTTTAAAATGAATGATATTAACTCTCATAATATCAAGATTTAAAAAAAATCAGAGATTTCATTTTTAAAATGAAATTTTTATCTAATTTTCAAATTCTCACTCAAATATCAAAATTCTTGATGAAATCTTAGCCCATATTTTTAATATTTAATAAAATCTTGCTGGCTTAATTGTGGCACATTTAAATGCATTGATCTCATTGTTCTATGAATCACATGGGTCTAGTTTTTTAAATATTAATTTTTCAAATGCTATTTATATAAATGTATATTGGTAGATTCATATGTTGCTTCTAACTCTTTGGTTTTTGGTCCTTCCTAATCTATGGCCTAAGTTTAGTTGCCTTTATTTTCTTGGAGGCCATTAATTTAAGATAAAAATATTTCAACAACGACAACAAGAAACCTTTATCCCACTGAGTGGGGTCGGATACATGAATCCTTTTTCTACATTGTATCCAATTGAGTGTCAAAATTTCATTTAATTCTAATAGATTAGATAATTTTTTATACAATATGCTCATGTCTTTTTAGGTCTACCTCTGCTTTTCTTAACATAAGTTGGATCTCGAACAACTAATCTCCTACTCGGCAGATGGTACACATTTAATGTGACCAAATCATCTAAGATGACTCTCTCCAACCTTGTCTGCAATTGGAGCTGCACCAACCCTTTCATGGATAGATTCATTTCGTATTTGGTTTTTAAGTGAAGTCACTCATCCACCTAAGCACTCTCATCTCAACAACACTTAACTTAGTTTTATGCTTCTCTTTTATTGGCCAATATTCTGCTTCATAAACCTTGCAGGTCTCGCTACTATCTTATAAAATTTTCCTTCAAGTCTAAGCGGTATCTTCTATCACACAATAGGCTTGATGCATTCCTCCACTTTAACCAACCAACCTGAATTCTACTAATAACATCTGCATCTATATTACCATCACTTTGAACAACAGACTAAAGATATCTAAAATGTTCACATGTTTTAAGGATTTGATCACCCATAAGTTTAACTCTGTTGTTAGAGCTATTTCTACTAAAATTCCATTATATGTATTCAATTTTATATCTACTCAAATGAAGGTCTTTAGATTTAAATGTAGACCTTTCAATTTTATATCTACTCAAATGAAGGTCTTTAGACTTAAATGTAAACCTTTATAATTCAAGTTTTTTTCTGAACTCCTCTAGTCTTATCCACGAGAAGAATATCATTAGCGAAATACATACTCCATAATTCAAGTTTTTTTCTGAACTCCTTCTCTAGTCTTATCCATGAGAAGAATATCATTAGCGAAATACATACTCCAAGGTAGATCCTCCTGTAAATGTCCAGTAAGATCATTCTTAACTAAAGAAAAAAAGATACATGCTTAAATCCGATCTCTGATGTAATCCAACTTATATATGAAAATACATGGTCAATCATATTTCTGTTCGAACAAATGTAACAACTATAATATACATATCTTTAATGACATGAATATAAGTTATATCAACACTTTTTTTTTTTTAGAATTCTCCGAAGAGCTTCTCTTGGAACCTTATCTTAAGCTTTTTCTAAATCAATAAAAATCATATATGAATCCTCCTTACTCTCTCTAAACTACATCAAACCACTCAATAAATGTATAGCTTCCATAGTAGGCTTGCTTGACATAAATCTAAACTAATTAGGATAAATCTTTATATCATGTTTTAACTTATATTCAATTTCTCTCTCTCATAATTTACTCATTAAGTTAATTCCTTTATAATTTGCACACTCTTGTGGATCCTTTTTATTCTAAAAAATGGAGACTGAAATACTCTTTCTCCACTCCTCGGACATCTTTTTAGTTTTAAAATAATATTAAAAAGCTTAGAAAGACAAGAAACTCCTATATCTCTTAGATATTTCTGCACTTAAATAGGAATATCATTAGGTCCTACTGATTTTAAACTCTTGATTTTATTTAAAGCATCTCAACTTCTTTTTTACTAATGCGACTAGAAAAATAAAAAAAGTTTATTATTATTAAAGATATTAAGATTACTATGTTCAATCATAGTGATCTCAAAATATTTGGTCTTCAACATACCTTTTTTGTGCCTCCACTGCACTTATTCTTGTGCTTTCATTGCTCAGGGCAATCTCAAACTACCTGAGTTTATTATTTATTGAGGCTTAGAATGATATATGCCTTTGTTCAAAAAACATAATCAATTTATAATTTTCAGTCTTTGAAGAAATATGTACATGGCTTTGAGTAGCTTCATCTGTGGCCATTGGCATAAATTTCAAAAGTTGAATTTATTGAACTCTTGGGGAGGGAGAAGAGGTGGTTGCTGGCGAGCAATGTACATTGGAAAGGTTAAATAATAATGCAGACTCTTCCACAGCCATTGGCATAAATTTCAAAAGTTGAATTTATTGATCTCTTGGGGAGGGAGAAGAGGTGATTGCTGGCGAGCAATGTACATTGGAAAGGTTAGATAATAATGCAGACTCTTCCACGCTTATATTCCTAAAATAATCGTAAAGATAAAAATAATCGATAATTTTTTTTTAGTCTATATCATTTTTATAAAGATGAAAATAACATACATTATTACCTAATCATCTGGTGGGTATGAAATAAAAGTTCTGCAAATCTTATTTCTCATTGTCACCAGCTTCGACGTCGCATCATACAGGGTCAAGCCTGTGTCATAAGGAAAAGAATATTGGTATGCTCAAAAAACCATACATGCAACACAATGAAATATAATACATTAGCATGTAAGGAATGAGTTTCATGCCAACAAACATGATACACTAAAAATTACTATCAAACAGTGATATAGCCTCTTATGTAGCCAAAAGGCTTATGGAGTCTTGACTTCTCAAGCCGTCATATTAGTCTACCAAAAACCTCCATATGGCCTCTGGTCAGTTATACTGTGCAAACTCTTGTATATTTCTAGAAAAAAGATTCCCAGGTATCTTATAGTTATTGTATGAAAAAAATAGATTTGTAACTAAAAAATTAATAAAAAGTTTAATAAATTTAGAACTAAATTTATTAATTTTATTAAGATTAGGATTTTTACTTTTATTTTTAAAATCTATAGATGTGAACATTTAAGTAACTTTGGTCATTTTGTTCAACAAACCAACCATAAGAGCCACTTTATCTACAGTGAACTTCAGCTTGTGGCCACCAGTAAAGAAAGCTTGCCTCTCAACGTTGAACACTTAAGAATGTGCACAATAAGTGGTACGTCTTGTTGGATGGGTGGCACCTTCAAAAAGTGATTCAAAAAGTGATCAATACGAAGATTCTTTAATATAACAACAACATCTTCAGTGATGTTTTGTAAAAGTTCATCACATATTGCTCAAAATATTGAGGACCGACAAGTGAATGTAATTCCTCTATTGGTCATTTTATTAGAAGTTTTCAAATACACTGTTAAAACAATAAAACAAAAAAAAAACTATTAAGAAGGCAAATGTAAAATGATATAATCACTGTGTGCTTACTTTAGTACAACTGTGTTATATCAGTTGTACTGAGTACCTTAGTTTCCTTAGTGCAAACATTACAACTTGTCTATACAAGGGAAATAATCAGACAATCTTAGCTATGAAGAAAGTTAAAAATAAAAATTCATTCTATCAATGAACCAATTTTTTATTTTTATTCAGATTTTAAACAAAACTCAACATTGTTGTCTTACTTCAGTACAATCTCGTTGTATCAGTTGTATTGAGTTCTCTCAGTACAATCAATATAACGTGGTTGTACAAGGAAAATAATTAGATGCATGCTTACTTCAGGATAACCGTGTTGTATCAGTTGTATTGAGTTAGTTGAGTTTACCTCAGTACAACCAATACAACTTGGTTATATAAGAAAAATAATCAGATATTCAAAGGAATGAAGAAAAACAAAAATTAAAAATTCATTCTATCTATAAAACCATTTTTAATTTTCATTATATTTTAAATAAAATTTAACAATGTTGTCTTACTTTAGTACCACCATACTGTATTAGTTGTACTGAGATATCTAAGTACGACAATTACAGGTTGGCTGTACAAGAGAAATAATCAAACAATCGTAGGTACGAGGAAAATCAAGAATTAAATATTCATTCTATTTATGTACCCATTTTTTTAATTCAGATTTTAAACAAAACTCAACATTGTTGTCTTGCTTCAGTACAACCTTGTTGTATTTGTTGTACCGAGTTACCTAAGTACAACAATTACAACTTGATTGTACATGAGAAATAATCAAACAATCGTAGGTACGATAAATAACAAAAATAAAAATTAGTTATATATATACCCATTTTTATTTATATTTTTATTCAGATTTTAAGCAAAATTCAATATTGTTGTTTTACATCAGCACAACTATGTTCTATCAGTTGTATATAGATACATAAGTACAACAATTACAACTTTGCGGTACATGTAAATAATCAGACAATCCTAGTACTAGAAATGACAAAAAATAAAAAATCATTCTATCTTAATGCTAATTTTTTTTTTATTATTTAGATTTTAAATAAAACTCAACATTGATGCTAAACTTCAGTACAATCATGTCGTATCAGTTATGTGGAGTTATCTAAGTACAACAATTACAAGTTGGTTGTTCATGAGAAATAATTAGACAACTGTAGGCAAGAGAAGTAACAAAAATTAAAAATTTATTCTATCTATTTATCTACCCATATTTTATTTTTATTCAGATTTTAAATAAAAATCAACATTCTTGTCTTACTTCAGTACAACCGTGTTATATCGGTTGTACCGAGTTCTCTCAGTACAAACAATACAACATTGCTGTTAATAAAAAATTAAGATATTTTTTTTATTCAGATTTTTAACTACTATTTACATCGTTGTATGTCTTCAATACAATCTTGTTTTATTGGTTGTACTGAGGTAAATCAGTACAACCAATAAAACATCTTTGTATTTTAGGAGCATGCACTATAAATCAAAGAAAAATCATTAGTTAGGAAAAACCCATTAAAAAAGAAAAGAAAGATTGTATCACATTTGCAAACATATCATCGATTTTACTTACAAAATAGACAATTAGTGGATCACACGCAGCAGTGTATGTTGTATTTTGATTCCTACAAGATTCTCAGTCTATTCTTTGTCTTTAAGCTAGAAAACAAGCAGACATGTAAAACAATAAAATGAGGAAATGTGAGCAAGCAAAAAAAAAAAAAAAAAAAAAAAAAAAAAAAAAAAACTAAACAAAAAAAGGGACAAAATGCCGAAGCATAAACTTAATACAATAGAGGAATCTCGAGGAGTAGATAATACCAAACAAAAATCGTAGAACAAACATTAGAGAGTTGATGTCGATTTCGAAATATGAAGCATCGAGGACAAGTTAGATCAGCTCGAGTGACGGGTTACACGTGTTTTTTTCTCATTTTAGATGCTAATATATATTATTTAGAATAACATAATGATAATAATAATAATAATAATAAAACATGTGAAATATTTGAATTAGCTTCCGAAGCTCTAAGTATTTTATCTGAACATAATAATTCCCCTTCCCACTAAAAAACAAAAGACCGAGAGAGAAGAAATCACACCCTAGAAACCGATCTTCCCCTCGGCAATCTCCTCTCCCCTGTCCTCTTTTATTACCCCAAACCAAATCTCTTCTGAATTTCAAAATTCCAGATCTCGATCGATAGACGGTAGCTGCAATGGAGAAGACCAACAACAGAAACCCTAATCTCGGCGCACCAAACAACACCGGAATGACAAAGACGCTAAGAGAAATCATCCATGGCGAGCACGACGAAACGGATATACCTGTAAAGGTATCTCTAATGGCGTTAATGGCGGACGACTACCAAATGGAAGAAGAAGAAGAAGAAGAAGAAGAAGAAAGGAAGGAAGGAAATTCAGAGGGGGAATTTGCGTCTGCTTGCTGTGTATGTATGGTAAGGAATAAAGGGGCGGCATTTATCCCCTGCGGCCATGCGTTCTGTCGTCTCTGTTCGAGAGAGCTTTGGGCGAGTAGGAGGAGCTGCCCTCTCTGTAATGGCTTCATTCTTGATATCCTCGATATCTTCTGATTTTTTTTTTTCTTCTGGATCATTATGGATCGTTGTGATGATGATGAACGGTGATTAGTTTAATTGGATTTTTGGTGTTTCAGATTTCGTTCGCTCTCTTTATTCTTTCGTTTAATGTACTGGTGAACTGCTCAAGTCTTTTTCTTTCAGAAAAGTTCTTTTCAGAAAATACATACAATAAAGCCTCTTTGGCTGCAGCTGTAGATTTACGTTAAATGAGATTAATCAAATTTTGAGATGGAAGTGACGGTGATGAGCACAAGAGTAATGCCAGAAAAATTTGGGTAGTTTTTATGTACACAACCCTGCATATGTCAGGGAGGGAGGTTATTCAGAAGGTATTAGAGTGTTACATTCACATTATATTCTCTATAACCTTCCTGTAACCTATCTGTAACTTACATGTACCTTCTAGTGAGTTCCGCACTTTTATTTTCATATATTTGTATGTTACATATATGTTACCAGAAGATTACAGGGGATATAACACAGATGCATCCTCTGAATAACTTCTCTGCTTTCCAAAGACTGAGAAAAGAAAAGACAAAATGTGTATCATGGAGCCACGACAAAGGCGACAAATTTAAACAGCTATTTACAAGTACACGTAGAAGAGATATGATATATAATGGGACAATAATTGTAATTATTGAAGATTGTTATGGCATGCATGATCTGGCTAAAAGGGACTGTCCTACACTGCCTGTAACTCTCAAGCTCCCTCTGTCACATTGTCGTTACTCAGCTGCACTTCAAAGTCTAATGTTTCAGAAGGCTTCTCATGGGGATTTATTAAGAATCTTATTTATTTATTTTTGTTTTAGTTTTTTTTTTTTTTTAAAAGTATTTTTTCAGAATCTTATTTATTTATTTTTGTTTTAGTTTTTTATTTTTATTTTTAAAAGTATTTTTATATATATATTTGTATAATTTTGTTTTTAAAAAACTCAACGGGGACATTTATAGAAATATATACCACCTAAATTCTATGTATTTGCTTATCTAATCATAATTTTGCTTTTTTATATTTATATCATCCAATTTTTTCATATTAGTTAAAAATATCATTATTTTAACTTAAAAGATGAAATATATATTTTCATCCATAGGGAATGTGATATGTGCATAGAAATTGAAATTTAGATGTTAGATACTTAAATGCAAATTGATGTAAATTCTCTACTAATAAAATAACTAACACCTTTAAATGTATTTTATGTTAAATTAAGATATAATTAAAATAAAATTGTTGAATATGAATATGCCGCGTGAATCACACTAAAGAAATATGCCGTGAAAGAAAAAGAGAGAAAGAGAGAGAGAGAGAGTGAATAATAGTACACATTAAGAATCTAATTTTTCTTAAATATCATTAATTAGTCATTTACTCCTATTTATAGGCAAGGGGGTATAAAGTGTTAAAGGGTATTTTAGGCATGTACAAAAATAAATGAGCCTATGGTTCTGCTACCCAATCGTTCGGTCGGTGAGGACATGTAATAATTGGGTTGAACGAGTACATTTGGCCGACTCTATCATGTTGGGGCGATCAATAGGCCTTGATGGTCCTTCGAGCGTTCGACTTTGCTCGGTCGCTGAGACTTCGTTTGGCTAGCTTGGGTTAATCGGTCAGTTGTCTACATTTTATTGTCGGTTATTGAACTTTGGATGGGGGAACTCATGTTGTCAGGGTAGAACTAGACTATCAAGAAAAGGGTGAATCGTCGTCATCTGACAAGTAGTCTACCTCTTTTGACAAGAGATCCGTCTAGAGTGCTCGATGAATGTTCGATGACGTGGCCTTTGAATCTTCTAAAGACTTGGAGGCTCTTTGCTGGGTGTCTAGTGATATTTAGATGAAAGTTGGACTGGTTCCTTCTCTCAACTAGATGGGTTTTGATCTTTGACCCAGATGACCTTCGTTCGGTCAACCCTACTCTTCTTTTTAGGGAGTTGTTGTTGTTTACATGGTTCTTGCTTTTTTTGATGGGCCACCAGTGATTGTACTTTTGTCTTATAGTCCATTGAATTTCCTTGAGATTCATGCTGATGTATTTTGATGTACATATTTAGTTCATCAATTCTCTTGCTTCTTGAAAGCAGTATTGCTATAAGAACAAGAGAATATAATTCAAAAATAGATTCTTTTATTTTCATATTTAGTACGTATTTTAATAATTGAGCTCCCAAGATTTTCGTACCCATGGCTTCCATAAATAGAAAACGATTTACACTTTCGTTATC